CTCTCTATTTTCCTCATTTTACAACATTTCGCAACGAAACTTTGGAATATTACTAATTTTGTGATGCTCTTTCAAGCTGTGATGAAATATTTGTCTAGACTTGCCTAGATCAAAATTTTGGTTATAAGGGGAAAGGTCTATTCTTCACCCTGATAATGTGCAGATGGTAACAGCAAGATTTGAAGCAAGCAAGCTTTACTGGAGTACATATTATTTATAATACTAGGAGTTACTATCGCAAGGAAAATGCTGCCGATATGTACATGTAGGATGTGCTACAAAAAGAGCGTTTTTCACTGTATGTATGATTTATTGTCTTACACATCGTCGTTCCTCAGTTACCTTCGTACAATTATATCTTACATCTAATCTTATGAAAAGTATATTTTAATATACTTAACAGTGCGACTTTGATAGTTGACACATAATATAAATGATAAAATGTGAATATTATTGAATGATTTTGTCACTTGTACAACTTTTACTTTGGCTATTCAAACAATTGATTTAAAATAGTTGAATTTATACTTACTGGGATGTTATTGCTTATTGGGATGTTGAAATTATGTTTGTTTTAAATACATTTAATTGATATTCCCTAAATTCATTTTGTATGATTTCATTGACCTTGACGTTGTTCAAAATCATTTTGTATTGTATTGAAACTGTATGTCTATGACCTATGTTATGTACTATATTAACCCATCGAGTCGCATTGCACCCTGATGCACCCTACTTTGAACAGTATTTTACTCTGTCTAACGCCAGACGATTTTACTCGTCAAGGGGAGAGTGCTGGCGCTTAATGGGTTAACTGATCTATCTGCCCATGTGTCTAGTTAACCCATTGGGTCGCATTGCACCCTACTTTGAACAGTATTTTACTCTGTCTAACGCCAGACGATTTTACTTGTCAAGGGGAGAGTGCTGGCGCTTAATGGGTTAACTGATCTATCTGCCCATGTGTCTAGTTAACCCATTGGGTCGCATTGCACCCTGATGCACCCTACTTTAGTATTTCACTCTGTCTAACGCCAGAGTACTTTACTCTGTCTAACGCCAGACGATTTTACTCGTCAAGGGGAGAGCGCTGGCGCTTAATGGGTTAACACGCCCAAAATCTGTACTAAAACTGCTAATTCTGTTTTGTGATTGGCACAGTTTAATCAAAGAATCCTCCCGTTGAACCAGAGCCTTCACGATATTTCAATTTATTATTAACTGAAGGCTCTGGAATCCAGGATAGCTTGCCATTGAATACAGTGCAATGCTTATATTTCTGAATGAATAAGATCATACTCAGAACAGTCAGAACTGCAAAACTATATTGTTAGAAAGAAGTTGAAGTTGTGAGCATTATTGTGGTAACACAGCCATATGTATATATCACTGTATGTCAGTAGAATCATGTTTATAGGCTTTATATATAACTGAGGCCTTATACAAGTCATATCTTATACAAAAGTCAGTTGATATGCTATATTACATGTAATTGCTGATAAGTCCATATATGCAGACAACAATCCACACTGGGTAGCTCTAGGAATCTTGTTAAGCCTGATTTAACAACATCCCGCGTTTGTTTTTAAACTATAAACATTTAGAAACAGAACGTACCGAACACTATTATACACTCACCGCCTTTGGCTTTGCACATATTAAGTGACATAACAAACAAATAAACTAAAAGTTCATTTGCTTCTTGTATCAGCATAAAGGCATTAATCATTACTGTCGATTTGGTCGGGAATAGATCAGTGGTTCAGTGGGTATTATAATTGCCGATATATTCTTGAAATCATTTTGTTTCAATGCCTCTATATCGAAGTTTAATACACTAAAGTGACTAAACAAGTATAAACAGCAGATTTAAATATAAATGCCTTCATGTATTATAAAATATATCACCAGACAGGTAGACAGGGCACACGGCACGACTACATCACTATACGAGAACGAAATAAAGCCATCCTTACCTGAATTATTCAAAATATTGTCGATCATTCTTGCGCCAGAGACACAAAATAACACCGTGCTTTATTTACCCATTCATCTTCACAAATATTACTCGGAATTTTTATGGAAATTCGCATTATTTTATGATTTTTATATTTCTGTCCGTTTATAACAGTCGCCATGTTGTGAACAAACCCCCCCGGGAACAAAAAAATAATATCAAAACAGCTAGTTTTGGCCCGTCCGTGGATGACAGAATGACATAAATCGAGATTGTAGCGGCTATAAACTCGGCGGTCACGTGGTAAGCACACCACGTGTAGAGATTAGTGTGCTGCCGAGCTACGCTCGGCAGCAATTAGGAAACATCAATCCGCACATGCTAATTTGCCAGTGATGATTTTAAACGTAATATTTCTTATCTCATATAGAATTCTTAAGGTCTTGTTTACATTTTACTGGAAGCAAACTAAGATGCATATCCAATATTTGAGTCATATCACTCATATCATGTCAGTTTTGCAGCTTGCCAGCTTCAACAACATTTGGCTGCAAGAAAAACGTAAACAAGGAAAGAGCATATAACACTTCATCTGTGTTTAAAATATCAATGAATAAATATTCCAACCATTGGCACTTTATAATATAAGTGACATTCAACAATAGATCAATAACATATACAGTATATATGCAAAAACATTTCTTTGAATAACTGTATAAGATATTCCTTATAATTCATAAACTCGCTCCAATCGTCGCACAGCAGAGTCTTTGGAAGGGTAAAACCAAGTTTAACATCCCAGTTCAAAACACTTTCCGTGTCCTCTTGTTAATTTTGTTTAGCGAACGAACGATATTTACCAAACCCAGTTGGAAGAACAGCAACTACATAGTTCCCATGTAATAAAGGCTGAAGAATTTGATTTCGAGTACGTCGGTAGCAAAAAGAAGGAAAAATTTCCAAGACTAAACGCATTTTTAAGCCGCTCTAAGCACTTAAATTTTGTGGTAATAAATCCATGTCCTATATACGCGAATATGAGACACACTCGCTCTATATTCACATGTACACCGTTATCCACTGTTATCTAGTGTCATCTACCGTTATCCACTGTTATCTAGTGTCATCTACCGTTATCCACTGTTATCTAGTGTCATCTACCGTTATCCACTGTTATCTAGTGTCATCTACCGTCATCTAGTGTCATCTACTGTCATCTACCGTCATCTACTGTCATCTACCGTCATCTAGTGTCATCTAGTGTCATCT